GCTTCCAGAGCTCAGAATAGGCATCTGAAGGCTAAACAGACTTTCAAACACTCAAAATCTCTGTTTGAGATGGTGATCAATCCAATTCTGTGGCCAACCTTTTGTTACAACATGTTGGTGTTCAATCAAATTAATCATTAAAATATGTTAAATTGAAATGAGACTTAAGAAACAAGGGTGTGGTGTGTTAAATTAATACTGAGAAGTTACAACATGAAATAAAGGATTTGCAAGATGATGATTCATGATCAAGAAAAGGTGAAGAGAAGGATAATCAGAAGGAAAATACCTGACCCTAATTAGTTAAATGAAATAATGAGTTTTACTTATATTTGTCTAGTGTTTTGTACTTTTCATCTTGTCCCTATCTTGGGATTGCTAACATATATACATTTCCACTCTCAACTTGTGATATGTAGGTGTGGGAGCTGGACACCATTGTTTGGTTTGGTAATGCACAAATTTTTATTCATTTCTTATTAGTCTGTTGGTTAGTCCTAGTTAAACCAAACTTCCCTTACCGGAGAGGTTTTAGGGATCTCGGGGGGTCAGCTCTGAGGGGAGTAGGATTACCTGGGACTGTAGATGGGGGAGCTCTGCACAGTGGGCTAGGAATCCCCATCACACTAATTTACATACATATGAACAGCCATTGGACAATAATTTGTATTCTGATGAACCTGCTGAGCACCAAACCATCAAGGTACACAATTATATAAATGAGCTTGGAATGTTGCCAAGATCTTTCCTCCAAAACCTCCTGGAAAGCAATTCAAAGTGTATTGCTTGATTATCAAGATCAACAGATTCTTGATGAACTCATTTTTGTTGATTTGAGAAGGGTAAAATGTGGATTTGATGTTAATTAAATGACACATGTACCATCCCCTGCAGTCTTCTTTGAAATATCAAAAGTACAAATTTTGAGGTCAATGGCAACTTTTGTTTTTGATGAGACTTAAAAAAGAGATGAGACAGAAAGATGTGAAAGAAGCTGAATGATAAGATTTGGATCTAAAGAAAAGTTGTAATCCATGAAAAAGGTTTCTTTTCCAATTTCTCCCACCAAGAGATGATTGAGCTTATCACGTAGATAACCAAGATAACCAAGATAACCCGTAAGTACCTCTGCTTGCTAAAGCTCACGGCTTGTACTGAGGAACTCAATTAAGTTTGAAAAATGAATTCTTATAAGAGAAGGTGTGCAGAAGTGGTACAACAAGAAGCAAAAATGAGCCAAAAAGATTGAATTATATCATGTACACGCACCAAAAATCATTCCACAGACCTGAGTATAATTTCGTTTGATGCAGAAATTACTCTTTAATAATGTACATTATTAAATTTGATAGTGACAGGAAATAATCAAAAGTTTTATAAAAGAATAAATAAGTGAAGAGTGAATTTCAAGTTTTAAATCTGGTATAGTTAACTCTGAGATAACCCATACCATTCTATGGAATCCAAAAACTATGGGTGGTCTTACAGTATGGACTACCAGAATTCTTTGCAATAACCCATACCAACTCATTCATGGTTTGTTGCAAAGATTTCTTGTGGAAGGCAAGACAGTAGCTCTTTCATTGCATATGATTCAAGAATAGTAAGAGAGTTTTGACAAAAGGTGATTCAAGAGGAGTGAGATAGGTATGACAAAAGGTTGGGCTGGACTCAGTACAAGTTTTGGAGCAGGCTGCACTAGATGCACACAGAGCTTGCCAAAGAGCCCTCCCACAGGCTTTGGATTCATCAGAATCTTTGTGTCTGAGCTAGTTGGTGACAACATTGGCTGACTTAAGTAAATCAGAATATGATGAAGGAGGAGCTACCTGTAGAGTGATCTGGAACATAGATTCTAGTGCTGTTGTTGTGTTTGAGTTGAGATTCTGATGATGAGTGTGGAAGTGTAGGAGTTGGAGATTCAAAGAGCTTTGTGGATGTGTCTCAAGACTCTATGGTGCATTATTTTATTTTATCTTCTGCGGGAAACTATGAGATTTTTGTCTCTGATTTTTGCAAAAAATATGTGGGTTGTGGGGTATGATAGAGTTATAAGTGCTTGGCTCATTTCCCCCGCCCATAAAGATATGAAGGCAATTAGGGTAGAGTACACTGCCAGCATTAAATAGGTTCCCTGGTAGGAACATGACCTAGGCTGGGAATATCATTGAGAGAAGAATGGAGCATCAAATCATCTAGGACTGCACATATGAGCCATAAATCATACACTACATATATGCAAACATCTGAGTCAATCCTTAGCTATCAGCTACATACAGGTCCGCTCAGTTCTCTGCACATATAGATAAGCAAATCATGTGTAATACATGCTGTAACTTTGTTCAGATTGAGACACACATTGCAAACCATTGACTACATATATCACAATGGCTACTCAGGAAATCTTCATGGAGCTGTGTAACAGTAGCAGAATGGGAATCTGATCCCTGGTACCCATATTCCCATCTGGAAACCTCTTCAATGCTGGAAGTGGTATGGCTTATTTCAGAGTCAACTGTATGTATATGAGATCAGAACTGGCTGTATCATGGGATTTTGGCTGACATTTTAAGGATGTGTAACATAGCTTTAGAACATGTAATTATTTTGAAATAGGATCCTCAACAACATTCACAACTCACTTACCACAAAATCATCCACATAAAATCATTGTTGGTAGGATTGTGACTCAGGCCCAACCCTGACCTGACAAGTCTGCCCAAGCAATTTTTCAAAGCTGGCATGGTTGGCCCTGGGTCATTTAAACCTAACCTAGCTAGACTGACGTAGGACCCTCAGGCATCCCGGCAGCCCTGACCTGGCTGGGTGCCCTGCTAATCTTGTCATACCAGACTGATCAACAGTGATCAACAGATCAACAAGCTTTTAAGTTTCAACATTTGACTTATTTTTATCTTATAAGTCATAGCCTCAGTAGAATTTTTTATTTTCCAGGTTTGCTCTCATGGTTGTTTTTTTGTGCAAGGATGTTCTTATAGCCTCTATACACATGTGAACAAGAAATTCAAGCCAATATATCCCCTTCCCATATCTTATGAGCCTGGCCACACAGCCAGGGCTTTCAGGGTGTGCCCTGGTTGGCCCTGTGCATTTTTTAGCTCCCTTGGGTCTGACTCTACCCATGGCCAGGCAATGCCTTGTGGATGGCCCTGAGTTCACAGGTCTGGGTCATAGCCCTGATTGTTGGTGGTTACAGGAATGATCAGAAAAGATCAAAGAATCTGAAGAACTTTAGTAATCTGAACTTACACAGCTTTTAGTAAAAACCATGATTTCAAAAGTTGCTTCAAAACATGATCAAAAGCTGAAATTAATCAATTGAATTCATAATAAAAAAAGATGATATATATATTAACATGAAGTAACAAGAGGAATTGATCATGGAAATAATTTGCATATCATAGTGTAAGCCACAGAGAGTAGAGAAATGAAATGATGTGAGGATGGTCATTAAAATCCTGAAGAAAAAGAGAAGCTGTGTAAGATTACTGTGAAGTTGTGAAGTGAGAATATAAATCCTATGTATGCTTTTCACCTCATCATGTTTTCCTTTTGATTTTATTTTCTTCATCTTTTACAAGTTTTAGTTTCATTATTAATTTATTAGATCAGTACCAGGTGACTTGAATCCACCCCTTTAATCAGGAGAAATTTATTGATGTAGTTTAGTCTTTTGGTAATACTACTTGATGAGAAGGATTCACTCTGAAAGAAACAATTGGAGAATATTGGAAAGGTCAATTGCATTTAGTGAGCTTACCTGAAAGAAACAATTAGACAATATTGGAAAGGTGAAGAAGAGAGAAACCAATCCAGTCTAACAACAACTAACGGTATATCAATAACTAATTCTAATAATGTAATACGAATATTGTTACAGTGAAGAGAAAGTTAGCAAACTACTATGATGTAATAACAATCACTGTCACATAGATTACATCCATAACACTACTTATAAAAGTATTGCTATAATTATTTTTCTTTATATCTATAGGAATAAACCTAAAATTCTCAAGGCAGCTAGTAATCAAATTGGGTACTTATTTTCTATTTTATCAGTTACATGAGCGTTGAGTATTCCTTATCAATACTTTCACACATCTTCTTACCTAAAATCATTTATATTTCTCTTTTTTAGTTGTGTATTGCTACTCTTACAATAAGATCTTTATTATAAGTTTCACTCTCAGAAGATTAATCCTTTGACACCTGTACTATTTTATTTTTTAAGTAGTTTTACTCTTCAAGCTCTATATATTATCACCCCTATTGGATGATTAGTTCCACAACACGCAAACCAAACCCATTTGTTGTTGGAAAGATCACTTAACCTAATTGTCCAGACCTCACCCACTCCTTCACCAAATCATCTTGAAACTTTTCAATTAGCTAATACTGCATTCAAGAATGCTGGTGGAAAGATCAGCACTGATAATTTAGCAAAGAAATTGCAAGATATGATCAAATAATCCTCACTTCAAAGATGCTAATAGTAAAACCATAGCAAAAAAGTATATCCCAGATCATGATAGAATGGTCATTGCCATGAAGAAGAGGATGAATACTATTGATATCTTGAAAAGAAATCAATCTGAAAACCTAGCTCATCATTCTACAACTCAACTTTTAGCTGAACCCAGTGCTTTAAATATCAAGAAATCAAATTTGTCAATAAGTTCTCTAAGAAGAAGTGATTATGGATCATGACCCATTATCCTGGAAGGGTAAACTGTCTTCTAATTGATCAGATGCATTTGCCCTAGCTGCATGTACTGGTTCTAGAAGACCTTTTATCAAGGATTTAGAGGCGTATGTTGCGAGGATAAGTCCTTTGGCAAGCCATACATCACATCAAGTGATCAAAGATGGTAAATGGTGGTGAATGTGGTATTGGATCAGTCCCCATCCCATAGCCCCATCTTCAGGCAAATCTTCAATGTGGTACCAATCTTGGGTGTTTGAAGAAAAGAGTTTTATTTATGCAAAAGAAGTAGTATGTATTTCAATTTTTTTTTCAATTGTACAATATCAATACAAAACCACAAAACCAACATTTAATCATTTCCTGCTAAAGTAAGTAAAACGATTTTTTTTTCAAAATCTACATTTAATTGAATCATTCATTCATTACAACAAGACTTCCAACACCTTTGTTTTTCTTCTACAATTTCTCTCTTACATTTATGATTTGTTCCTTTGTTGATCTTATACAAAATTTTATGTTTTTTAGTAAAACTATTTGATGTTGAGTTCTTTTACAACAAAAAAGAAGAAAAGAGAAAAGAAGAAAAAGAAAGCTTTGTTGAAGAAAACGAAAAGAAAAAAAGTCAAGAGTCCTTTAAGTATAGATTCGAAAGAAAAAGAACGATTCAAAAAGAAAAAAGTTTAGACTTAACCACATAACAACCACTGAAAAAATGACGATAAGTAAAACAACATAACAGATGATGAATGATAAAGAAAATCATAAAAACACTAAATGAAAAAAAAGAATGATGAAAAAAAGTCAAGATAAGATTGAGAACATTTAATCCAAAAACAGATTTAGATTTGATTCGATTTGAGAATTTAAGAAAAATGAAAGTTTATTGATCAAGTACTGGATCCTATGAAATCCCAAATCAAAAAGAAATCATAATCAATCTCAAAAACCATGAAATCCAAAAGAATCCCTCTCGTCTCTCTCTTGAAAAAAAAGGAATCAAAAACTTACAATACAAATCATTTTCTCATCAAACATCTTCCATTTCAACTTCTCATCATCCAACCAATCCTCTAATACCTTTAAACCATCCACACCCAAGCCGGACACCAAAACATACGCTAATCCCAAAAACGCCTGAGTTCTAAGTCCCTTAAGAAACTTCCCAATCAACTCTTTCAAATCGGTTAGTTCAAACCCATTTAAATCCATCAAGACTTCCATCCTTTGTTTAACATTCAATCCATTCGTCTCATTATTGACTCCTAAACAAATGCCTGTACTGATCTCTTTACCTTTTCTCATTCGATCAATCGAGTTTTGAGAGTCTCTTTGGATGATCAAGTCTTTTAGTTTTCGATGTCTTGAGATGATGATTTGGTCTTTGATTTCTTGTGATTCGATTTCAATCTTTGAGTTCCATGATCTGATTTCTTCTAACCATGATTGGATTCCAACTTGATCTAAAAACGCCCAATCGATTCAAGTTTAGGAATTTGAACGTTCAGAAGATGAAATGGGGGAAAGACTGACCATTCAAGGATAAACAAACTCGATACTTTTCAAGACATTCATCTCTTCTATCTTTCGAAACAGTACGAATCATCACCCCATCCTTCTGAAGCTCATCAAGTCCTTCAACCTTATACTCTTTAGGCAACAAACTCATCGGTTTCAAAACTTTCAATCCGTTGGGTTTATGATTACTTGGGTTTAAGGAAATCATCGACTCGATCAAACTTGGAAACGCATCTTCGAATCGTTCATTGGGTTTATTGGATTTCATTTCCAAATCAGGCTCTTCATTCGCTTTGGACTTCTTTTTGATCGGCTTGGATTTGATCTTGATCGTTATACTAGATGTGCTTGGGTTCATCAGATCTGGAATCTCGTGTAAGAAATCACATTTGCTTTCTCCTTTTAAACAATGTCCTCTTAACCTACCCAAAAGACAAGCACCCAAATATATTAGTCTTTCTAATTGGGTTTTTTGGTTTTTCGGATTCAGAGATATATGGTTCAGACTTACCAGAATCGACAAATCGCTTTACTTAAATCATGACTAAACTTACAATCTGATCTTAAACAAGATCCTTGTAAATAAAACTTACACACTTTCACCTGGTTACTCATCCCATTTAAATCCAGATCAGAAGAACTCAAAGTTGAATGATGATGATTGACGGTACCAGATTTATTGATCAAAGCTTTAGGGTTTGGAGAAACTGGTTTGTGGGTCATCAACACATTCGAAGCTTTCAATTTACAATAACTTTGGGTTTCTTCTTTTACATTTTCGATTGAAATCAATGGGATCTTAAACTTAGAATCTTTAAGTTTTGATTTTTTAGATTTCGAGGTCGTACTACTAGAAAGTTCATTAGACGATTTGCTTTCGGTTTCTTGGTTTGATCTTGGTTCGTTTTTTTCTGAACAAATCGAATCAGAAGAAGTCATCAAGGTCTTGTACTGACTCATAATCGATTCTTGATGATCTTCATACGAAGCCGAAGAAGAAGAAGACACCAAATAATTCCAAGAGTCTTGATGAAATGTCGGATCTGATAACGAATGATGATGACGATGAACATGATGAGTAGGAGTGATAGAATTGATCCAAGGATCTCGAGGGATCTGATCAAAGTATTGATCATCAGATGAGTTCCATGGGTCTCTAGGAATCCGTTCGTCTGATGTATTCCATGGATCTCTTGGAATCCGTTCGTCGGATGTGTTCCATGGATCTCTTGGAATAAAATCTATAGGTTGATCAACGCTTGAGTTCCATGGATCACTAGGAATATGTAATTGATTGAAATACGAAGTTTGGGTGCTCGTAGGTTGATGGATGCTAGGATTCAAGCTTGGAACGTTTAAGCTGTCCTCTAATGTATGTAAAAAAGAAGTAGGAGCCGGTAAGAATTTAGGTGTACCGATGGGAGATGGTGAGAATGACCAAAGTGTAGGATTCGGATTCGGATTTGGAGGAGTTGGATTGGTTTGGATGGTTTGACTTAAATGATGGATTGATGTCGAATGAGATGAGACCAATTTGTTAGGTTTAAATTCGGATGCCGTTGCACTCAATTTCTCGGGTGTGTTGATGTTAAAGTGAGTAGGAGAAGATGATAAAGAAGAAGTTTGAAGATGATAAGATTGAGTTCTGTTTTGTAATGGTCTTGGTGAAGGACAAGTTCGACGAGAGTTATAATGAGATTGAAGAGTAGTTGAATTGTTGTTGTTGTTAGTTGAATTGGATCTGATCAGATTTGAATGAGGTTTAAGTTTTGAATTGATGATAGTGGAAGTGGCTGAGTTTGAATTGATAGTATCTTGTCTATGTAAATGTAAGATTGATAATACAATTGAATCTAATTCAGAATTTAAAACGTCAATCAAGTTTGAATGATGTTTTAACAAATAAGATTTTAACATTTCAGGTTTTTCATCTTCATTGGGTTGATCTAATAAATCAATGATATGTGAGATTGGATGTGGTGGTGGTGGTGTTGGATTTGAATCTGATACTGGTGAAGAAGTGGTTGAAGATGAAGAAGAAGAAGAAGGAGCAGTGACATTGGTTGTACTAGTAGTAGTAGTGGTGGTGGTAGTAGTAGTAGTAGTGGTGGAATGAGAGGAATCAGATGAACTATCAGATTGTGATTGTGATTGGTTTGTTGGTTGTTGTTGTTGTGAAAGAAGAGAATGAGCTTGATTGAAGATTGAGTTTAAGTAAGATTGAGTATGAAATAACTTGTTGGTGGTAGTTTGTATCTTAGATTGAATCATCTTGACTCAGTTTGTTGAGAATGCTGAAAGAGAAATCTGTAAAGTTAAGTTGTAAAAAGAAGAAGAAGATGGATTGCTGAGTTTTCGATAATAAATCATTCAATTTAAAATTTTAATCATTCAACAAATCAAATGAATTGAAATCTTTAATCAAACCTACCAATCGACTATGTAAAATATGATTTAGTGTACTTCAGTGGATTGGATTGGATTGGATTGGATAGTTTAAGACTGATCTGATTCCTACTATGTAATTTATAAATCTGATCGATCCATGCTTTCTTTTCCTTCATAAAACCAATTTGGTGCGCGGGCTTTGCTTAAAATTAAAATTAACTTCAATTCTTTCGCTTTTTTTTTGGCTTTTGACCTGACTTGATTCATTCATTCATTCATTTCCTATCTTTTTCTATCAACAAAACAAGGCACATCGAAGTTCATCTCCTTGAAAAACGAAAAAAAAAAAAAAAACACAAACACGAATCGTAAAGCTCAACCAAAGCTTTCCATCAAACCTTGACGATTTCTACCAAAGAAACTTGACTACAACTTTCAACCTTCTCTTGCAAGTTGAAGGATTTCCTTTTCACAAACTGTTTCGTATTCGAGTTTTACAAATTCAACCTTGACTACCAAACTTATTAATACAAATTCAAATGGGTCAACTTGATGATGAGATCATTGATCTCCTCGATAGTTTCATTACCTCATTGTAACCTCACTTCATACGACATACCATTGAGATTTCATTCAAACGAGTCAAACTCAAGAGCAAGGAGGAGAGAAATCATCTTCATCTGATTTCAACTGGCATGACGTCATAGTCAAAATCTCAATACAGTTTAGTAAAAATCCTTAAGTCACCAAATTTCATTGAGTTACTTAAGTTAACTTATGTGGTCAGGCGATGACTTAACACTCAAAAGAAACCAAAACCCGTTACATATGTACATAGATACAATTCAAACTGTCGGATTTTTCTTTGATTGCTCATCAAATCAAACAGCCAGTCACAAATTTCACAAAGTCTCTCTTCAACAACAGAGAGCAACACAAGATCAATGAAATCTGCTATACATAGTTGGAGAAGTCAAGACTGTATAAATAGCGGTGTACAAACCTACAACCCAACATGAAAACCCATGAAAAAAACCCATGAAAACCCAACTTCTTTATGGGTTTTTTTCATGGGTTTTTTCACATGGGTTGAAATCAGCTAGATCTGACCACCCGTTTGTTGAAAAAAAATAGTCGAGTTCGATATAGACTCAACCAACCCCTCCCCTTCCTTGCCAACACAACACACCCAAATAACCCAAGTCCTTCCACAAAACATATATATGATACTTGTCTACCTGATGTATGCTGATTTCAAAGTTACTCTCTCTTTGGTTTGTTTTGACCTTTGCAATACAAAGAATTCAAAAGTGATTGTTCTATTTCAAACAAAGCACAATTGATCGTTCCATTTCATACAAAAACTGATCTGAGTCGCCTTTTGAAACTTTGAGATCAGACTTTTGAAACTAAGACATCGTTTTCAATTGGAAAAACATATCGTTTCATTTTAAAAAGTTCCTGTCTAAGACTTAAGTTGACTTCTAAAGACTTGATGATACTTCTGAAGCATATTGTTTTCAGTCGAATTCAAACAAGATTGTTTTATTTCAAAAGGAAAGAGATGAGGCTTTTGACTTTTAAAACTAAAATTCGAATTTGGAAGGAAACTGGGGCTAGTGGATGGAGTCATGGTTGAGGTGGATGCCAAAAGAGAGATGTGGAGACTCAGAGTAAAGTTAGGGCCTCAAGTGATGACTACAGCAGAGCTACGTGTGGCCTGTGACTCTTTAGGTTGTGATGGGAGTTGGGGCGTTCAAACCTTTCCAGGGCGACCCATGAAAAAAACCTGTCAGAAAAACCCATGAAGAAGTTGGGTTTTCATGGGTTTTTTTCATGGGTTTTCATGTTGGGTTCTAGGTTTGTACACCGCTAATGTCCAACTGATCTAAAAAAAACCATTCCCAGATGCCACACTCATCACTTTAAGGAGCTGATCAGTGCTGCAGAGCCGGGCCAATGATCTGGGCCATCTGTCTATACCTTTTTTCAAAGTTTTCTTGACATTCTAGCACTGTTCTCTAGGCCCCTGACTAATGAAAAGTCTAGGAGCAAGTTGATTTTCTATTTTTCCTTTAGTATCATTTCTGTTCAATTTTGAGATGAAAGATTCAAAAAAGTAACAAGCAGATGGTCCAGATTGACCTGGATCTGCAGCGCTCATTGGCTCCTCAAAGTGATGATTTTTCTGGCTGGGAATGGGTTTTTTTAAATTGGTTGGACATTTACACAGTCTTAATTGCTCCAACTAGAGCCTAATGTCAATATAGTTGCTAGTCCTTTTGACCCAGACCCCCAATTGGTAAATCCATAAAAGCTAAGATTGGATATTCCTCAAATGATCCCACCTATCCAAGCTCTGTCCAAATGAGGTAATGCACCATTGACAACCATCAAAACTTCACCAAACACAGACACAAACCATTCACGCTTTTCAAACTTCTATAGGTCTGTAATCATTTTCTGAAGTCTTGATGACCCCATAAAACATTGAAAACTGACAGGGCAGCTTTTACCATGACTGTCTTGGCCATATCTTTTGTCATACTTATTTCCTTCATTTAACACAGTTCAGATCAATCAAAAATCTTACTCTCACCAAGATTTCATGAAACAATTGCAGGAGGTCACAAATAGGCTGGAAGAAGAGATGTTATTACGTCAAAAAGTACAGCAAGAGATGGAACAACTCCGGCAAAACCAACAAGCCCAAGCCAATGTTCAGACGTCCTATGCACCACCGTTAGCTGTAAGACTCCAAAGGGAAGTCTTCACTGGGCAAGGTGGGATGGGAGCAAGGCTCCAAGGGTAATCTAAAACCCTTCAATCTATTCCAAAACAAGACTAGCTCCAACCGAAGTATTCGGTGAATCAGCTCCTAGCTCCTAAGATAAGATGAGAGATGGGAAAGGAGAACTGAAATACAAATAGTGAAATGAGGTGCTCACCTAGCTCCAACCAAAGTATTCGGTGAAGAAAAGGATCTTCGTGGAGCTAGGTGTGTGATGACTATACAATCTAACCTGTCTACAGCCATAATGGCTTGTACCTGTATGTAACCCTTACATCCCTCCCCTTCTAAAAAAAAAACGTGATTAACAACCTAGTATCTAAAGGAATTTTTTGTAAAATGTGGCATAACTCGCCCCTCAAAAGGTGACCATAACTTGTCCCAACGCAAGAAAAGAAAGAAAAAAAAACAGAAACATTTGAGCAGAAAAGAAAAAAAATTTAAGTAAAGGCATGAAATCGTAATCTTGATATCTTGATGTCATTTGTAAACTTTATGTTGAATTGAATTATGAATTTATGAATGCTTGATCTTGTACTGCGAAGTCGAGTCTTGATCTTGAGTCTTCTTTTGTCTTTTCGTCGTGAGTTGCATCTGAAAATGGATAACCGGACGTATGCGATGCGCTCACACAAGTGGCCGAGGTAATGTTTTGACAAAATTTTGACGTAGTAGTCCGGCGGTGCATACAATTTGGGAGGAACTTACTTTTGGTCCCCTGTTCCTCGCTCCTCCTCCCTCCAACGGTACCGCTTAAGCTTTGAGACGTGGAAAATGGGATGTGATTTGTCGCCTTCGTCGAGTCGAAGTTGGAAGTTTCGCCCGTCGTTCAGACTCTCGGTGATAATGTATGGTCCGTCAAACCGGGGTCGTAGTTTTGAGGTTGGTTTGCCTTTCCCTCCAACAATCTGTTGGCGGTCCTTGCTGTCGATCAAAAACCCAGTCCCCCGCATTCAAAATGGCACCCTGGTTCCGGCAATTGTTGTAATGTACAGCTTGGGTAATTCGGCTAGACCAGAGCTTGTCCCTATACTGGGCCCATGTACTTTGTCGTTGCTCGATCCAGCTCGCCACATCCGGTCCCACGGTTGCTGTCTGGCCAGGAATGGGGAATAAGCGTGGTTTTCGTCCAAAAACAAATTCAAAGGGCGATACTCCTGTTGAGACGTTCATGGCGCTGTTGATGGCGTATTCAACAGCTGGTAACGCTTCTAGCCACTTTCCATGACGATCTTCGACCAGCTGACGTAGGATCTGGACGATGGTCTTGTTGGAGATTTCGCTTCGCCCGTCCGCTTGTGGATGGTAAGCTGTCGTCAATTTCACATCCACTTGCATCAGTGAGTTGAGTTCTTGCCAGAATCGAGAAGTCCAAGCCTTGTCTCGATCCCCAATCATGGTCTTTGGGGCTCCAAAAATTGAAAGCCATGCATTGAACAATCATTGGGCTGTTTTCTCAGCGGTGTCTGTTTGGTTTGTTGGTATAGCACGTACGAACCCCGTTAGCCTACAAGTACAAGACAGAATCATGTCGTACCCTCGAAATTTAGGGAAAGGTCCTATGAAGTCGAGCGAGATGTCCTCCATGGGATGCCTTGGTACTTCTGTTGCTTGAAGATGACCCAACAGAAGATTCGTTCTTGCTTTTGTTCGTTGGCACTTGTCACAAGATGCTACATGCATGTTGACCGTCCTCGTCATCTCAGGCCAGAAGAATTCATTCCAAAGTTGAGTCAAGGTCTTGAGGCTTCCTAAATGACCTAATGCTGTGTGGGTTTTTTCAATGAGCTTCTCCCGTAAGCCGTTTGTATCTGGAATTACCAGTTGTCCGTCAATGTACATCAGCCCTTCTCGCCATTTGGTACCTTCACGCAATGGGAGTGTTTTGTCGACCTTCAGGCAAAAGGGGTCTGTTGCGTATCCGGCTTTGATGTCCGCCATTGTCTCTTCATCGAGCGCTGCTTCTACTTGAATCGCTGCTACTTCGTCGATTCTTGATAGAGCGTCTGCCACGGTGTTTTCGTCGCCTTTGATGTAATTGAAATTGAGATCAAATTGGGACAAGGTCTCCAGCCATCGTGCTTGCCGACGA